GAACAGTGTGAATAATAAAGACTATATCTAATCTTTGCCCCTAATTCCTAACATGGAGCTTCAAAAAACCCTTGGAATTTCGTGAGTCGATAGGATTTTTTATGCTAATGAGGCCACAAGATAGCTAATGGGGGAGGAGGGGTCTCGATAGCTTCAGGATGGATGTTGGTCACCAACAGAAGTCACGCACATAATTACAGGGTTAGAACTTGGGGCTGGTCTGAATCTGGAGTAGGGAGGAGGCCTGGAGATTGAGTTCAATCCATGCAGCCAATGATTTATTCAATGGCACATAGCAATAAAACTCCACACAAAAACTCTGAACGATGAGGCTCAGAGGAACTTCCAGGGAGGTAAACATATTGATGCTTCAAGAAGATGGCACCCATAGAGGGCACAGAAGCTCTGAGTCTCCACTCCTATCCCCCTGACCTTGCCCTGTGGGTACCTTCATTCATTTGGTTTTGAGTTGTTTTTTTTTTTTGTTTTTTTTTTTTGTAAAAAAAAAAGCTTTAATTGTAGGTACAGTGCTTCCTGAGTTCTAAGTTGTTCTAGCAAATTATCACACCTGAAAGGGAGCTATGGGGACCTCTGAATTTTCAGACAAGTCTGACCAAAGTGCAGGCGGCCTACACTTACACCTGGTGTCTGAAGTAAGGGCAGCCTGTCGGGGACCTGTGAGGTCTGTGCTAACTCTGAGTTAATCTCAGTGCCAGGATTAAAACAGACAGCAGGACCCCCCCTTAGCAACGGAGAATTGTCAGCATGCACACACGGTCCAAGTCTTCACGTCTGGATTTCCAGTGTCTTTTCCTGCAGGATAGACCCAAGATTGATATAGTTGAATGATTTCGCCTTTCATTTTCCCAACAGTTCGAGTTATCTGTGAACCTGCTGTTGATCTGACTCTCAATGCTCAACAAAGAGAACTTTCTCTGTCAGAACAGCCATTTCTTTTAGAGTGAGACACTGGCATTTTTGTTGTTAAGTAAGGATTGGGGCCAGAGAGAGGAAAGGGAGGAATTCAACTCTCCTGTTTTGCTTCTACAGACACTTTCAGGCCATACTTAAGTTTCCTTATTCCATGGTAAGTGCTGGCAAAGAACATATAAATATTTGTGAAGGTCAATACTCCTTGGCATATTTGTACCTGCCCCTCAGAGGTTGGTACCCTGGCCTCTGCATGGAATAACACTGACGCGTTTTTGTTCTTAATGAATTGACAGATTGCCAAAAAACTTTCCTCTCATCCCCACACTCTTGATATTTGTTTAGATGAATGGTCTGAAGAGGACCAGTAAAAAAATGTGTGCAGCTAAACTTTAACAGGAAAATATCTACTTCGGGGGATAGAGGAAAGTCATATAGTTTTGTCCAAATGGGTTCACCCATGTCAGGGCAGAGGGAGGATGTTACAGAGCTGGAGAAAGGCCCCAAAACAATACCCAATCCAATCATCAGTTCTTAAACACTTAGTTTGATTGTTTGACTCTATGCCTTAGCAATTGCGAATAATACTGCAGTAAACATGGATGTGCAAGTGTCTTTCTGATTGAGTATTTTCCTATCCTTAGGATAAATGCCAATGAGTGGAATTATTGGGTCATATGGATTTCTAGTTGTAGTTTTTTGAGGAAACTCCATACTCTAAAAAAAAAAAAAATCATACTGTGTGCTATAGACATGTACAACAATTAAATGTAAAGAAGAATTAAAATTTAAAAAAAAAAAGGGACCAGCAGATGGTGTAATGGTTACATTGCTGGACTCCCACCTAGTCAACTGAGTTAGAGTCTTGGACCTGGTGGCTTAAAACTCACATTGGGGTGTGTGTGTGTGTGTGTGTGTGTGTGTGTGT